TGGACTCCATTTTCTGGCCATTTCCCACCTGGTGTTTCGCCCTCCCCTGAAGCGGCCATTTTCAGTGGTGAACTTTCCCACGGCCCTGGCCAGGGGGGCCTTGCACGCTTCCCAGGGATAGCGTGTACTGAGACCATATTACCCAACACTTCCCTCTCGCTCATAAAAGTTGCTGGGATTTACAAAAGTGCTCTGCCGCATCAATCCGTTCAGCGTTGAGAAGCAAGAGCGAGGAAAAGCACCCCAGTTGCAGCCTTGGTGGGCGCACGGTAAACGCGTACCCAGGGCAGGCGCGCTGGGCGAGCTTCCACACAGGGTCCGGACAGGGAGTGCATGGGTCCCTTGTCCGGCTCCCCCTTCCCCGCCTCAATAAAACGCGATCTTGGTTTCTTTTCAGTCTCTGGGAAGCTTGGTCTTGGTCTCCGAAGCAAACCCTCCCTCCACGACAGATCCTCCCTCCCCCCACCCCGCCCCGCAGCCACTCTCCTCTGGCGAGTCCGCCGCATTCGCCTCCTCCTCTGTCCGCTCTCCTCCAGCTCTGGGCACCAGCCCCTCACCCCACTCTCAACCGGGCCAGGACTGGGGTGACGCCGGAGAGGCGCCCATGGAGTAAAAGGCAGGAGGCACTCACTCTCGGGGACTCTCCAGTGCCACCTGCGCGGTGGCGCACGCAGCCATTTGACACCTGCAGAAAGGAAACCCGGCAGCGGAAGATCTTTGCTGAGCTCCCTCAGGGAAGCAGGGCTCCTTCCAGAGCTTGCTGCCTCCCGAGGGGGGCTTCCTGCTTCATCCTGCCTACGCCCACTGACCAGTGAGGGGACACCAGGGCGCGGCTCAGGGGGGCCTTTGTGGCTGACAGACCGGTCACGCAGCGGGCTGTCCACGTGGTGGAGGCAGGCAGAGGCAGGGTGCACCTGCCCACCCCCACCCCAGCCCTGCACCCCTGCCCTCGGCTCAAGGCTCCCTCTGAAGGTGCCTGATGCTGCCCCTCCTCCTGTCTGGCTCCCCTGCTCTGTTCCCCATTCCAAGCACCCCACCCCTTCCCCTTTCCACGGCTTCCCCTAGTGCACCCCACGCACCCCGTGGCCAGGCCAAATAGGAAAAGGCGAGTGGGCAGTGACAGGGGTTGGCCCCGGGAGCATGGCAACCTCAGTGGCCCTCACTCTCTGCCCGCAGAGCCCCCAGGAGAATGGTCAGGCCTCAGCCCTTGATGGTCCCAGTGTCCCCCTGGCCCTCCCCAGCCCAGCAGTCTCGGAGGTGGCCTAATGGTGCAGGGAGCAGGCTGTTCTCCCAGGCAGCTGGAGCTACTATGCCTGCCTGGGCTGACTCCAGGCTTCCCAGAAAAGCCCCAGTGGGGTGGGGGGGTGGAGTAGCAGCCCTGGCTGCCAGCTGCGCTCTTAATTAAGGAATGTAGGGAGTGGCCCCTTTGAACTCACCAGCTAATTTACTCCAGCGCACTGCCCCCCGTGGCTGGGTAATTAATGTGGTGTGAACCGGTGATTAGGAGCACTGGGGAAAGCCGGCCCTGCCGCAGACTTAACCCTTCCCTGCACCTGTCTTTCAAGCCCAGTGGGTCTCTCCGTCTTCAGCAGTCCCTGGGCCCGAAGGGTTTCCTTGGGACCCGTGGCCATGAAGCCAATGCAGACTCCTGGTGACACCCCGATGTCAGAGTAGAACTGTAGTCCCGGGCGCTTTTCAATGGGGGAGTTTTCAGAAGTGGACCACCAGCACTCTGTTTAGAAGTGCCTCTGCATGGACTTGAACCTCCAACCCTTGTGTTAGCAATCGGGTCCTTGACCATGTGCATCACCCAGAAGTTCCCTGGGGAATCCTCCCTTAACCTCCTCCTACTCTCTTCCCCCAAGGACAGGACGTGGAGAGGGTGGGGTGGGGGTGGGAGCAATTCATCTCCTGCTTGAGTGAGTCACTAGGGGTAACCAATTCAGCCCCAGGGAGTGTGACTGACTGCCTACTCTGTCCTGAAAAGGGATTCAGGAGCTGTCCCCCCTGGGCCTCACTGCTGCACCCCCAGCCCTGGCACTGCAGAATCAATTAGCCAACCCAACTCAAGAGATGCTCAGACAACATTGTCCAAGGGGAGCCAGAATAAAGACCCAGCACTGGCCCTGGCCTCTATCATCCTCTGGGCAGACAGCACTCTAAACCCTGACAGATGCTCCTTTATCTGGCCCTCACACCCACCCCGGGAGATAGACACACTCATAAATGTCCATTTCACAAGGGAAGCACGGACAAGTTCCACTCTGCTCCAGGTGTCCCAGCCAAGATGCAGACCCAAGGAGACTGGCTCTAGAGCTTGAGTTCTCCGCTTCCACCCTCATCTGCGTGTGTGTGTGTGTGTGTGTGTGTGTGTGTGTGTGTGTTTTTAAGGCTCCTCAAGTACTGCTCTCTCCCCCCAGCCCTCCCAAACCTCCCACCTGCCCAGGCAAATCAGGTGTCTTGCTCAGGCTCCCAGGAGGTCCCCTGCACACATCTGGCACTGCTCTTGCCACTCTGCTGGTAATGATAGGCTTAGGTGTCCCATCTTCCCCAGTCAACTGTGACCTCCTTGAGGGCAAGGGCTATGCCTTTCATCTCGTGCCCCAGCACCTGGCACATAAATAGATGCTCAATAAAAGTCTCATGAGGGAACTTTGGCGTTAACAATGGGATCATAAACACAGCCGCTCCCCAGGCTGCTTCCAAGTTTGTCTCCTGCCCCTCTGCCCCTTTCTCTGTATTCTAGATTTTTTTTCTTAAGTTCAGTCCTTACCCCTAGCCCAGCCACCTGCATGCTGTCCTCCCACCAAAAAGTGACTTCCCATCCGGGAACACCAGACGCCAAGCAGCACTGTTCGGAGCTGAGCACTTAACCTCTGCGCCACCCAGACCCTTTCTTCCTCGACCTATGGAAGCAGAATTCCAAGGGGTAATGCTTGAGGGGCTGAGGGCTGAGAGCTAGAATAGAGGCCCAGTGCTTAACCCAGTGCTCCAGCCCTCCATACCAGAGCTCCAGCCTCCCGTCCCGTGCTCACCCATTCCATCCTAAAGGATCGCTTGCTATGGCCCTTCACAGGACCTGAAGCCTGCTTTGTACTCTACCGCCATCCAGCAGTTAAAGATTGGATGGTGTCCCCGCAAAATGTATGTCCCTGCTTATTGGGTGATCCACCCTGACCTCTGTCCTCAGAAGCCACCCTCTGTGCGGTTGAGCAGACCAGCGTTCCGTCCTGTATTCAGGACTCACCCCCATGCCTGGCCCTCTCCTTTTGCTCCTGCCCACCTGCCACACCCAGCTCCATGCCTCCTCTGGCAGAAGCCTTGCCTAGCCCAAGCCACGAGGCTGCTCCCCCACCTCCTGCAGCACCCTGTTTGCCCAGGTGCGTCTTCTTTCTACTTTGGGTTGTAGGTAGTTGGAAGGCAGGGCCACCCGCATCCCAACAATCCTCCTCCTCATGCCACCTCCATACCCCACACCCACCACATGCTCAATTCCTCACTGGTCCAAAACAGAGCCCCCAAGAGCCTTCCATGTGACTGACAAGCCAGGGCCTGTGCAGGTCCACACGCCACAATCAGGGATTCTCCTTTCCACAATGCCTTCCTTCCCTGAATTAAGAAAGGTGAGTGACTTGAAAGGAGAGGAGAAAGGGGTGAGGAGGAGGGGGCTGGGCAAACGGCACTACAACTAAAGGTCGAGACTCAGGTCCAGTTGGGTCCCCTCTGCCTGGCCCACTCTGATCCTCAGATGCCCAACCCCATCTCAGAAAAGATGACTGCAGCATCCGCTCAGTGAAAAGTGATAGGGCTGACATTAAGCAAGCAGGGGTGGTGCAAACAGGGAGTACCAGACTTCTAGCCAGCAGGTTGGTGGTTTGAAACCACCCAGGGGTGCCTCAAAAGAAAGACCTGTGATCCACTTCCCACAGGCCGCAGCCGTGAAATCCCTATGGAACAGGTCTGCTCTGTACATCAGTGGATTTCACTGGGTGGGGGGTGGACATGGCTTCTGAAATGTGCTGGGGTGGGGGTGGGGGGCGGGCACAGACATACTTACATGGCTTTGCTGGCAAGGCAGGCTGTAAATCCAAACCCAGCCCTCTGCTATCAAGTCAGTTCTGACTCCGCGTGACACTAGATAAGGTTTCCCAGACTAAATCTTTAAGGGAGCAGACATCTTGAACTTTCTCCCTCAGCTCAGCTGATGGGTTAGAACCACCAACCTTGCAGTTAGTAGCCCAATGCCTAACCTGCCATGCCACAAGTGCTCCTTCAAACACTCCATGGAGGCCAGCCAACCTACAAACATGTGCAAGGGCGCTGAGGAAGAGTGCACTCACTACTAAGGTCAGAGGAGGAAGGGTCTTGCTCTGGAGGAAGCCGGACAGGCCAGGTGAGCACGCTGAGTCTGGAAGGGTAAGTGGAACAGCGTCCACGGTAGAGGAAGTATCGCAGCACGTGGAAGCATGGAACAGGGAGTTCTGAGAGCAGGTAGCCCTCCCTGGCTTGGTAAGGTAGAGAACAGCATGACAGCCGGTGGTCAGAAGCAGGTTGGAGCCCAACCCAAAGCACCTTGTTAGTTAGGCCAAGGAGTTAAATCTTTAACCTGAGGAGCTGTGGGAGGCCAGGAAAGATGGTTAAGCAAAGGGGAAGTCACTTGATTGGAACTGGCATTTGGAGGGCTTCTCTGGCCCCAAGAGGGAAAAGACGGAGAGCGGTAAGGCAGGGCTGGGGCTTGTGGACCACATGAGAGTCAGCCAGGAGAGAGGAAAGGGGCTTGTTCAAGGGTGTGTTGCCCAAGATTGTGCTATCCAACCATGGAAAAGAGGGTGACTTACAAGAATCTGCTCCTGGAAAACCCAGCGAGACCAACAGCCAACTTCCACTTTGCATTGGACATTTTCACTTTCAGAGCATCTGGTTTTGAGTCAAGATTCCTCCTCCCGGACATGGGACTTTCCAGAAAGCCCACAGCTCCATCCATGCATCCGGTTGGCCCGAGACATGCTGACTTTGGGTTGTCGGGGAAGCGTGCCTGCCCCTCCGGAGCACGATGGCCATGTGGAGTCTGCTTCTCTGGGAAGGTAAGTGGGGCATGTGGACACCCCGGGTCTCAGAGAGCTGCCCCTCACCAGACCTCTGAGCAGTCCTTTCTCCATCCCGAGTGAGAACCCAGGAGCTGAGAGGAGTAGGGAAGAGTCGCACAGGCTCCTGGGCAACCAGGAAGGCTAGATGGGAGCAAAGAGAGGCAGAGTCCTGGGAGGGAGGAAGTGGCAGCTCTGAGAGTGGCCTTGGTCTGTGGCTGGTTTGTGGCTCCAGGTGGAAGAAACGGAGGCTAGTGGTGCCTACCGACTTGGAGCCGAAGATGAGGGTGTGAGTGGTGAACAGTCTGTGTCAGCACAGGGAAATTCTACACACAGATGAGGGAATCAGGGAAGGAAAGGGCTGGACAGTTGTCCCTAGAGTCTAAGGAGAGCAGTAACAGAGGTCTCTCCCTACTTGCCGGTGGAAGGGGAGGTGAGTGTTGAGTGAGATTGATGGGGAAGAAGGAGGAACGAAGGTTTCATGTGGTCCTTTTGGACTTAGAAGGGACTGCTGATGGTGTGATGCTGAAATGACGGACACTGGGTCTCTTGTGTGTTGTCTGAGTTCCCTTCCTTGGTCAGCAAGTGGCTGCTGTGACAGGGTCAGCCCTGCAGGGCTAGGCTATGGGGGGTGGGGGGTGGGGAAGGCGAAGACTAAGATGCCTTTGTTTGTACCAGAGACTTGGGGACTTTGTCCAGCGTCCTCCACCTGGCCTCCAGAGTCTGAGGGCTCTTTCAAAGGCCCTGAAGCTGTTTTCACTCATCTGTCCGTTTGTCATGAGGCGGTGGTTTGGGGGTGTTGCTATGATACTGGAAGCTATGCTACCAGTATTTGAAATACCAGGAGAGTCACCCATGGAGACAAGTGTGAGAGGAAAATGTGGCAGCCTTTTTCTATAAAGATTTATAGTCTTGGAAACTCCACTAGGCAGTTCTACTCAGTACTACTGAGTCGCCCGAAGTTGGAGTCAATCAACAGCAACAGGCTTTGGGCTTCCAGAATAAGTTAGCCAAGCAACGTCTCGTGGGTCACAGCAGACTCTTGCCCAGGGTCATGCCTGAAGGCTCTAGTCTACACACTAGCAGACACGTCGGCAACCACGGAAATGGCATCGGACAGAGCAGCGTTGTTCAGTGACATGCAGCGTCGCCATGGAGCAGGGTCGGCTGGAAAACTAACAACAAGCCTTGTCAGGGAAAACACACTTTGTCCCTGAAAAAAAAAGTCTCCATTTATCTGGTTCACAAAACCTTTCAAATCATTGGACATGTGGGGGGAGGGGTGTCTATTTTTAAAAGGGCTCTTAATGGCAGAAGAGATCAGTATAGCTAATCTGGTACCAAACCAAATCAAACCTACTGCCACGGAGTCGATGCCGACACATCGTGACCCCATAGGACAGAGAACGGCCCCCATGAGTCTCTGAAACTGGAACCCTAGACAGCCTCTCTTTCTCCCGAGGAGCAGCTGGTGGTTTGAATGGGTGAGAAATCTGAAATGAGAACAAATGATCTGCTGAAGGTCATACAGCTAGTTTGTGCCAGGAGCAGGGATAGCTCAGCCCTGGGAGTCACGATTCAGTCCTGTGTTAATCTCTCTGTCTGTTAACTTTCCATCCTGCATTAACACAGAATTCATCACCAGTCAGGCCTGGAGACAGTTAGGGCAGTGAGATGGACGAGGGACTAGAGTTAGCTGTCGATCTGTCTGTCTATCAGAACACGGCTCTTTAAACATGCCACCGGCTCTTATTCTATTCTGTACTCTGTGCTTAATACCATGCCAAGCGTGTGAGAACTCCTCAGTGGATTCATTCATTCATTCATCCATCCATCCATCCCTCCATTCAAACATGCATCCATCTATCCATCCTTCCTTCCATCCATCCATCCATCCATCCCTCAATCCAAACATGCATTCATCCATCCACCCATCCATCGATCCTTCCTTCCTTCCTTCCATCCATCCTTCCATCTATCCATCCATCCCTCAATCCAAGCATACATACATACATCCAGTAAATGTACTGAGCTTCTCCTACATCCTGGCCCTAAATGGCAGTAGGCACTAGGAGTACAAAGATAAATAAGAAAGTGTCATTGCTTTTGAGCGGTTCTCAGTCTAGGGTGAGACAGTGTTGCATCAGCAGACTAACATAACAGAGGAACTTCAAAACCATTCAGTCAGTTCTAACTCAAAGCGATCCTGTAGGACAGAATAGAGCTTCCCCTTCGGGTTTCCAAAGCTCTGAACCTGTGCTGAATCAGACAGCCTCCTCTTTCACCCACAGCACGACTGGTGAATTCAAGCCACACCACTGACCTTTTTGGTCAGTGGCCCCACACTTAACCCACTGTACAACCAGGGCTCCTAATAGAAAGATGGAGGAGTCATAAGGAGCCCTGGTGGTACAATGGTTAAGTACTCAGTCACTAAACTGAAGGTGGATGGTTGAACCCCTCAGCCATTCTATGAGCAAACACACCTGGTGATCTACCTCCACAAAGATTGAGTTTGGGGCAGTTCTACTCCATCACATATGGTCACTATGAGTCAAAACCGACTTACCAGCAATGGGTTTAAGGGGAGTGATAGTGGTGAACCCAGAGTTTGTAACTCCCACCTCTCCTGGTGTGGGAGATGGCAAAGGTAGGGAGGCAGTGAGTCTTGAAGGAGGAACAGAAATTAGCTTGAGAAGGAGTCAGGAGGTAACTCGAAGTCGAAGTAAGCCCCATACACCTATGTTCCCAACTACACTCAGCATCCTGCCCCCTTCCCACCCGGTCTGCCTATTCTCCAGGGTCCCTGATCACAGGGAGGAGCACAACAGGGACCTCAAGGGCCCAGAAGCCATCCTTGAATCTTCTCTCCTTCACACCCCAGATCTATGCATTATGCAAGACCTGTGGATCGCATCATCTTCCTCTCTCAACAAACCCCACTCCTCCTGTCCTTGTTGCCAGCTTCCTCCACACAAGCTTCTCACTTCTCCTTAAATGAATACAAACAGCCTCAGTTTTGCCCTCCCTCCAACGCCTTCTCCACACCTCTGCTGGAGCACTCTTTCAAACCAGGCAGCTAAGCATGTTACTCTCCTGCTCAAAACCTATCCAAGGCCCCCGTTGCTCTAAAGATAAAGCCTAACCTCCACTGTGGGCTTTCAGGGCTCGCTGCATGACTGTGGCTCCCGACAGCTCCCCAAATCCACAGTATAATTTCCTCCTCCCACTGCAGAGCAGTATTTTCAGTTCCCCAGGGCACCAGGCTCCCTCCTCTGGGCCTTTGCACATGCTGTTCCCTCTGATAATCACTTCCCCATGCCCCTCCAAGCAGCCCTCCACTTGCCCTGGCTGATTCCCAGTCCCCCGACAGGCCTCAGTTTACAATTCTTCTCTAAGCCCGTCCAGCCTGGTAAGGTCATCCTAGCCTGCCTTCTCCTGGGCCAGCCCATTCTCTCCCATCCTGTTGCTGTTGGTTACTGTCTGGTTGAGTCTCATGGCGATGCTGTGTTGAGTCTCATGGCCATGCTGTGTTGAATCTCATGGCGATGCTGTGTTGAGTCTCATGGCCATGCTGTGTTGAGTCTCCTGGCCATGCTATGTTGAGTCTCCTGGCCATGCTGTGTTGAGTCTCCTGGCCATGCTGTGTTGAGTCTCATGGCCATGCTGTGTTGAGTCTCATGGCCATGCTGTGTTGAGTCTCATGGCCTTGCTGTGTTGAGTCTCTTGGGCATGCTGTGTTGAGTCTCCTGGTGATGCTGTGTTGAGTCTCTTGGGCATGCTGTGTTGAGTCCCCTGGTGATGCTGTGTTGAGTCTCTTGGGCATGCTGTGTTGAGTCCCCTGGTGATGCTGTGTTGAGTCTCTTGGACATGCTGTGTTGAGTCTCCTGGTGATGCTGTGTTGAGTCTCATGGCCATGCTGTGTTGAGTCTCCTGGCCATGCTGTGTTGAGTCTCCTGGCGATGCTGTGTTGGGTCTCCTGGCGATGCTGTGTTGGGTCTCATGGCGATGCTGTGTTGGGTCTCCTGGCGATGCTGTGTTGGGTCTCATGGCGATGCTGTGTTGGGTCTCCTGGCGATGCTGTATTGGGTCTCATGGCGATGCTGTGTTGGGTCTCATGGTGATGCTGTGTTGGGTCTCCTGGCGATGCTGTGTTGTCAGAGTAGAACTGTGCTCCATTGAGTTTCCAAGGCTATAACCTTTCAGAAGCTTCCTGCCTCAGTGTCTTCTGAAGTGGGTCAGGGTGGATTTGAAGCTCCAATCTTTGGGCTAATAGGCGAGTGATCGGTGTTTTGTGACCCAGGGACTCCTTTTCCCATTCTCCTACTTCCTGTATTATAATTGCTTGCTGAAGTGTGTGGCATCCTCAGTGAGTGCCGTGAGCGCAGGGACCAGATTCTCCCTTGACCTGGCACAGTGTGCACATGCAAGGTGAGCCGGGGCACTGTGGCTGAAGGGAGCCTGGTACGCCCGAGTGACTCTGCTCTATTCTTTCAGCTCTGCTTCCCATAGCTGTTACTGGTGCCAACATCCAGGGACAGGTGGGGGGCTCCGTGCTGCTGGTGGCAAAGCAACCCCCCGGGTTCCAAGTCCGTGATGTCATCTGGAGATCTCTCTGGCCTTCGGAGGAGCTCCTGGCCACGTTTTTCCAGAACTCCTCAGAGACTCTGTACCACTCCCGCTTCCTGGGCCGAGCCCAGCTACACAGCAACCTCAGCCTGGAACTGCGGCCACTGGAGTCTGGAGACAGCGGCAACTTCTCCGTCCTGCTGGTAGACATGGTGGGTCGGGCCCAGTCCCAGACCCTGCAGCTCAAGGTGTATGGTGAGTGCACCTGACTTGGGCTCCCCGCCCCCCACAGGCAAGCATCCGGAGTCCCGGGGAGAACCGGGTTCCAGAAACCTCTAGCCACGTTGCTGATTCAGAGAATTTCTGCCTGGCAGTCACCTGTAAGAAAACTCCTCAGGTGCTCTCAGGGGAGCTCCTCCCTGGGACCATGGGCCAGCTCAGCCATCCCACCGTCCTAATCTGAACTCGAATTGCCTTTTCTTGGCTCAGTGGCCTCGGACTCAATGTGTAACCACCCTAAGCATCACCTTTCGCCTTTGTCAGATGGAAATTGTAGGCTCACCATGCTGAGTGGCTCTACGGGTGAAATGCAGTGGTGTTTGCAAAAGCTGTAGGTCAATACTGAGCCTTACTATGTCATTAATTCTAAGACATTATCATAGATTGTAAGGCACACCATTATTTTCAATTGGGAGACAGGCACAAGCCCAGCAGTGTTCCGTCCCATTATACATAGGGCCGTTAAAGGTGAGGGACCAATTTAATGGTGCCTAACAAACGAAGGGGAAAAAAGTGTTGCCAGGTAAACTACAATACATGATTTTATTATTTCAAAACAAAATTATAATTAAAACTATAGAATACTCATTTTATATTTCCTTTAAAGGCTCTTTTAGGTGTGCTTAGAGAGATTTTAAGTATGTATCAGTCATAGGTTATTCATTGCTTCAAAAACGCCAACTGTTTAACCCACTGGCTTAAACAATTATTTTTATTTCTCCAGACTCAATGAGCTGGCAGGTCTCAGCTAGATGATGCTTTTACCCATTTAGGTCTGCTGGAGCCAGTCACGCAGCGGCATTCGGCACCTCTCTTGGGTTGCTGACTTGGTTTGTAAGCCTATCTGGGCCTCCAACCAGCAACTCCACCTCTGCCACCCCTACCACCACTTCTGCCCCATGCCCACCAACCACCTCTGCCATTACATCCTTCACCATCATCAGTACCAACACTGCCACCACCTCCCCTATCACCTCCTTGACCATGACCTCCTCCAACACCACCTCCATCTTCACCATCAGCAATACCAACATCACTGCCACCTCCACCATCACTGCCTCCACCATCCCTTCTACCTCGACCTCTGTCCTTACCTCCTTCACCATCACCCCCTACACCTCCTCCATCACCTCCTTCACCAACACTACCTGCTTCAACATCACCATCACCACCTTCAACTCACTGCATTGTCCACCACCACCTCCTCCACCACCTCTACCACCTCCTCCACCCACTTCTACCTCCACATCATCTCATTCACTATCACCACCTCCACCTCCTCCACCACCACCCTCA